TCTTAAGACTTAGTGCTTGGAAATCAATCACTTCAAATGTATTGTTTGTGGAGATGATCACCTTGCAATGTGAGATCAACAAAGCTTGTATTTCAGAAGATCCTGTTATGAAGAAAGTTGCAGCCTCAATGAAGATAAAATTTGACAAGTATTGGGGCAGCTTTGAGTCTATCAACAAGATCGTTTTGATAGCGAATGTGTTGGACCCGAGGTACAAGCTTCAATGGGCTAAAATGACTATGAAAAAGATTAATGCAAGCCCAAATACAATCCAGTCGATAGAAGATGATTTAAAGAAAATCTTGATGAAGATGTATGAAGAGTATAAAGGCTGTGAGGACATGGAGCAAGCTGAGCAGCCTCTCGAAGATGATTTAGAGATCGATGGAGTTGCTTACGAGGACCTTGATGAAGTCAGTAAGGAGATAGCTAGAGAGAGGATGTCAGAGCAATCACAATGCATTCGGAATGAGGTTGATCAGTACTTAACGGATAGGCATGTCAACCTTACGTGCAAGACTTTTGATATTAGCAAGTGGTGAAAGGGAGCAGAAACAACTTATCCGATTTTATCCAAGCTAGCAAAAGACATACTTGCTGTTCCATGCTCCACTGTGGCTTCGGAGAATGCTTTTAGCTTAGGGTCAAGAGTTGTAGATCCTTTCAGAGCTTTTTTGACACCAAAGACAGTTGAGGCCCTTGTTTGCACTTCTGATTGGTTAAGATGTGCACCTGCAAATTTCAACCTCTACGAGCCTCCAACAGAAGATGATCTGATAATTTACCACGAACTGGAGGAGCTTGAGAGAGGTACCTGCAAATTATTATTGTTATTATTGCTTTAGTTGAACCTGTTATTGGATTTAATTATGTATTTATGTTATTGTTGTAGAGAATGCTTTTACACAAAACTTGGAGGCAGGAAGGGGCGGCCCAAGTAGCAATAGCTCTGTTCAAACAACTGCTTAGGCATCAAGCGTTGGGGGTTTATGGCCTAGCACCATCACTGCCTACAACATGTCAACCTGTCCCGCTTTTAGACCTATCATTTCTTTTTTTCAATTGTTTCATGAATTTGTTAGTACTTTGGTAGTTTGGACTTTGGCATGTTCAATTTATGACTTCGTATTCGGTAATTTGGTTGAATTTGTATAAGACTTTGGAGTTTGGATTTGTGTTGTTATTTGTTATTAGTTTTGGAGTTTGGATTTGTGTTGTTATTTGTTATTAGTTTGGACTTTGGCCCTTGTTTGCACTTCTAATTAGAATTAGTATTAAATATGGCGTCACCTATCTTTTTGGACCATATATAAGTTCTTTCCTCTATTATGCAAATAAAGTAACATCCTTGTCCAATTTGTTTTGTGGCTTTGATGCTATAACATATCTGATGTCAGTGTATGAAGATTTCTTGTGTAATGTATACTAGCTCGATTCATGCTTGTGCAAAGAAATTTTATTGTTGCACTACTATCATCAGGATTTTAATGGTGTACTCATCAAATAATTGTCTAGAGATTATATTGGGTAATACTAGTTGCAGGTTATTCTCATTTTACCTCATGCACTCTTGACCTGAGAGCTCAGGTGAATGGGTTTTTTCAATTGTTTTATGAATTTGTTAGTACTTTGGCAGTTTGGACTTTGGCATGTTCAATTTATGACTTCATATTCGGTAATTTGGTCTTTGGCAGCAGGAGAATTATGCTCTTTTCAATTTTCTGCAATGGTGTTGTTGAGCTGGGCCTTTAAATTTTTGGGCCATAAATATCTTGGTAGAAACCCAATACCAACCGTACCAACCGAGTACCAACCGTATCAAGTAGTTGGTATACCAACGTTATTAGTTGGTAGAAATGGTGAATTTTTCCTACCAATTATATATTGGTTGGTACTTGGTACTAGGAAAATGTAATTGGTATACGTACCAATCCAGCCCTAATTTTGTGGACGTTAATTGGGTTTAAAATTATGTCATTTCAGAGGCTATAAATAGGTTTAAACATCAGAAAATAAGCACCAAGTTTTGTACTTATAAGATTCACATATTGTGCAAATTAACTCTCTAAACTTTCAGTTTTTCAATCTGTTTTTCTATAAAAGAGAGTTTCTGATATTGTATTTGTTCCTATCATTCTTAGAGCTTGTTTAGACAATATTCAGAGAGTTAAAAAGATTGATAAGCCACTGTTATACATTCACATCTATATCAAGGCTTATAGGATTGGAATTGTACATTGCTTCAAAGAAAGGTTCTCTCGGTTTATGAGAGGGGTTGATCTATTGGTCTAGAGATCGGTGTGACGATTGGCATGGTCTTGTCAATTGGGTTTGCAATTTGCATGGTCTTGCAAATTGGTCAGGTTTGTTTTTGATTTTGTAAGGTTTTAAAATCATAGTGGAAACTCTCAAGCGGGATTTGCTTGGGGATTGTACACCGGGGATGTGGAATCAGTATACATGTTTGTGTTTGTGATGTTCATTTTCTGATATTGTCATTCTTTCTTTGCAATTTATAATCTACTTTCCAAACTCACCCTCTAGTGTTTAAGTGTAAAGCTTCCGCAGATTTTTATAAGAGCGCACTCTATTCTTAAGGGTCACGATCCTTACACTTGGTATACATAAGCAAAATCAGGACCCTACACAAAAGTCTACAAAAACATAAAGTAGATTTATACAAGCATGGTGACTGATTGGTTCTACACCTGTAGACAAGATAATAGGTTCTGCTTAGCTTCCTTGGACACAGAATAGTAGTAATTATCTCAAGCAACCACTGTTTCAAAATTTTATAAACGATTAAATCCATATGAAAGGCTAATGCTTTGGCCTGAATGAATTTTTCACTGAGAAAAAACTACTTAGCATCTTAAGAAAAGGTAAAGATCTCATGTATTAATCGAATAACATAAGGGACCTCTTTGAAATGGAGAGAGCTTTGACCAAATATTAAGACTCTAAGAGACAAATTCCTTTCATGAATTGGAAAAACACTTCAAAGATGGGTGCCTTTCAGTAATTGAAACTCCAAAACTTTATTTAATTTCAAATCAAATCTATAACTCCTTTCAAGAAAGGTTTAAAGGGGGGAAAAGAACACTAAGGCCAGTGTTACCAATGTGTGATGTGGAATGCGGGGTTGCAATGTCCCTTTATGTGCATATGCGCAAAGCACAATGCAATGCACACCCGAGTGAAGCTAGGATCACACTACACATATAATTTTTCAAGATAGATAATCAAACATGAAAGAACATGTCCATGAATTTTCACAGAAAAACTATGGCAAGATAGATAATGTCTACTACGAAATAAAAAAATAAGGTCTTAATTCATAATGCTAACACACCTAACGTAGTAGTAAAGTTCATAAAATTTCAAATCAAAAGTCAAATCAAGACTTATATGGAAGAAAAATCAAATTGTAAATGAGGGCGAGTTAGGGTCCTCAATCAGGCTACTAAACTGGCCTAATGGGTTTATTTTTCTTTTTGGAAAATGAGCTATTGGGTATAAAGACCCAATTTAAATGCAAAAGATACACACATACATGTATATATGTATATATACATATATGTAAGTATATATGTATATATACACATATATGTATGTATATATGTACACACACACATAAGCTATCAAATCGAAAGTCAAATCAAGACTAATATGGAAGAAAAATCAAATTGTAAATGAGGACGAGTTAGGGTCCTCAATCAGGCTACTAAACTGGCCTAATGGGTTTATTTTTCTTTTTGGAAAATGAGCTATCGGGTATAAAGACCAAATTTAAATGCAAAAGAAATACACACACACACATTTACATATATATACATACATATATATTTTTCTTTTTGGAAAATGAGCTGTCGGGTATAAATACCCTACTTAAATGTAAAAGAAACACACACATGCGCACGCGCGAGGCTATGCCATGTGTCCTATTGCTACTGCCTCAGATGCGGGGCTCTCCGCCACTCCCCCACATCGCAGGGCACATGAGGCTCAATGAGGCATGTGCCTTTGATAACATTGATTAAGGCATCAAAATTTTATCAAGCAGAATACCCAACTCAGGCACTCAAAGCCTAGCCATTTCATATTGCTCTCAGCTAACCTACTAAGAGATTATCATCACCATCATAAACATAGGTTCTTTTCCCCTCCCATTAGATGGAGTTAACTATAGGAAGAATCCAAAAATGAAGAAAGCTATGCAAAAACTTAAGTAAGTTTTATGTCCTGATGTCAAGTTGACGACAAACCTCTATAAAGTGGTCCAGAATCTCTGAACAAGACAATTACAACCGAGTTAGAGCCTTACCCCAAGCTCACTGAACCAACAAAAACTCCTAAACTTCACTAGACTAGAAAGACATAGACAGACGTAAGTGACAGCATTTTCTATAGGGAATTATCATTTACTTAAAAGAATAAGATGAGCAACAAAAAAGTATTAACTTTTTGAGGGAGAGAAAAAGAAAGGAACTGAAAGATATCAACTATCAAGGGAAGCTTCAAATCTTCTCCAAAGCAAACCCAAATTACCCATATTCATGCCCCTCTCAAGAGCACGAGCATGAGAGCAATTACAAAACGCCCAAAGGTAGCTAAACAAACCTCCAAATTATCAAACAAAACAAACAACATTACCAATTTCATTACATGGTCAAAAAACAAGGAATCTCTATCCACTAGTAAAGTAACTAGAGGAAAGGTGTTCAATACATTTACTACTTGAGAAACCACTCAAAAGCTCCTAGAATTAGAGAATGAGAACAATCTAAATCATTCCTAATCTCTAACAGACCAATCTCAAAAACATCCACTCCATTATATCCTCAAATAATAAACAAACTCCATTTTCTCAATAAAGGGTATACTATTACTAAGAACCCAATTAAACCAATCAACAAATACCCAATTCACAGTACTCCACAAAACCACTAACCTCAATAATTTAGCTCAACAAAAAACAAAACAAAGTTCAAAGGTTTCACCTTTCTATCAAGAAAAGCACCCAAAGCTTGGCACAACCCAACAGTAGTAGTACTCTTCCCTTCTCCAAGCGGCGTCGGAGTTATCCCGCCAACAACCACATAATAACCATTATCACTCCCTTCAAGCTCATCCAAAGCCGATAAAAGCACCTAAAAAAACCACACCCAGATTTACACCCACGCCATTAAGCCCACAAAAAACAAAAAACAAAAAATAAAACATGGGTTTCGTTCAAATCACCTTGGCTTTGTACTTTCCATAGAGATCATAATGTTTGGAGCTGAGATTGAGATCCTCTGCGATCTGAGAAATGTGAAGGGGCTCGACGGAGTTGGCTATGTCGATGTCGGCGGGGACCGGTGAGGTTACCTCCAGCCTCCTGACTGTTTTCGAAGAACCCATCTTTTTTATTTTATTTTTATATTTTTTATTATTATCACGGGGAAGAGGAGAGACAGGAGGAAGAGGATGGAGAATTTGTCGCCGTTTAAAACGGATGACGGGAAAATAATGGAAAGATAAAGTCATGGAGAGCTGTGTCAATTGTTTTTGATGATGGGGATTGGATGTGGATTTGTCGGATCCACGAGGAAATGGGTTTGGGTCCGATCAGGATCCGACCCGAGATGTTGGATGCAAAATGAATATTTTCTATAGAATTTTGATGAAATATTAGGGAAGAGTTTTGCAATGTTTTAGTAGTTGTTTGAGTAACGGTTAGT